CTAACACAAGACTTAAAAAACAACACAGAAAAGGAAACCCCAATCACCTGAATAAGATAAAGTTTCTGTCACCACTGTTTCAAGTAAAAACATTCCCAATATAAAAGAAACACATTTTTTAGAAAAGATACTGACTTTTGTTTTTTAAAAATATTAACTGCACTATATCTTGATCCTTGAGTACGTAATGTCTTTTTAATATTCTGTGTGTGAAAATATGAAGTATGCACAGAGCACCTCTGCTGCGTATCCAAGCACAATGCTGTCGAGAGGAAAAGCAGAGGTGTGACTGTCGGAGTCGAGAGCTGAACTACCTGCTTCTTCCCGAATCACTACTTTTTTTTTTTAATATATTTTATTGATTTGTTTACAGAGAGGAAGGGAGAGGGATAGAGAGTTAGAAACATCGATGAGAGAGAAACATGGATCAGCTGCCTCCTGCACAACCCCTACTGGGGATGTGCCCACAACCAAGGTACATGCCCTTGACCAGAATCGAACCTGGGACCCTTCAGTCTGCAGGCCGATGCTCTATCCACTGAGCCAAACTGGTCAGGGCCCAAATCACTACTTTTTAAGTTGAGATAATTGTGGATTCCCATGCAGCTGTACGACATAATACAGAGAAATCCGGCCTACCCTTTACCCAGCCTCTTCCAATGGCAACACCTTGCAAAACTACAGAACAACCTCAGGATCAGAATACTGACACTGATTACAATCAAGACACGGAGAATGTCCAGCAACCCAAGGATCTCTCCTGGTGCCCTTGACAGCCACGCCCACTCCCCTCCTCAGCCCCTGGCAGCCACCAATTCCTCCTCCTTTCCTGTAATGTAAAGACTTCCTCTTCAAGGTAAAATTCACCGAGTGACAAATGACATAATGACCGAAACAGCCAGAGTCAGAAACCCACATTCCGGCAACAGGTGAAGAGGATTTTAGGTGCATTTCATTCTTCCAGCAGCTGGGAGCCATTACGCTGAAAATGAAAGCACCTGGAAGCTAACTGCAGGGTGTTACTTTAAAGATCAAAATGGAAATCTCAGAATTTCAAGCTCAGGTTCAACATGGCCTTTCAAGTTAATCAAGTTCAAAGGACAGAAGATAATTTTCAAGAACCATGTGAAACACATAAAAAAGAAAAGAAAAGGGCCAAACGACAGGAAGTCTCCGTGAAGCCATTTTAGTAGCAGCAGATAGCAGCTGAATGGTCTCCTCACAACCACAGTCAGATGACTTCCTTAACCGCTGTCAGCATTTCCTTTGGTAAAGGAAAAGAAAACCCACACTTACCCCGACCACTAATGAGCAGCCTTGATTCTAAGGCTACTCAACGTCCAAGGAAAGAGTCACCTGTTACATTAGCAGCAGGGCCATCGTCTTCAGAAGCTGCATGAACTTTCTCTTTCCTATAAACTGTCCAAACACTTGCAGAAAGAGAGACTCTTAACATCACGCGCTTAAATAATCTTATTTGTACACACAGTTACGTCTCACTTCATGGCGGGTTTACGTTCCCAGGAATGCATCGTTAGGAGATCCTGTCATTGTGTGAACATCACAGAGTGCACTTACACAGACCTAGATGGGACAGCCCACTGCACACCGAGGCTATGTGGTCCAGCCTATGGTCTATACGTCATGTTACTGTAAAAAATACTGTAGGCAACTATAACACAGAGGTAAGTATGTCTGAATCCAAACATAGAAAAGGTACAGTAAAAACATAGTGTAAAAGATAAAGAATGGTACACCTGTATAGGGCATGTACCTTGAATGGAGCTTGCAGGACTACAAGTTGCTCTGAGTGGGTGGTGGGTGAATGGGAAGGCCTAGGACATTGCTATCCCCTACTGAAGACTTTATAAATACTGTACACTAAGGCTACAGTAAATTTATTTTTAAAACTTTCCTTTTTTCAATAATAAATAAAACATAGCTTACTGTAACTTTTTTACTTTATAAACATTTTAATTTTTTTAACTTTTCAACCCTTGAGACATTTAGCTTAAAACAGAACACATTATACAGCTGTACAAAAATGTTTTCTTGATTTATGTCTTTATTCTATAAGCTTTATTTTTAGAATTAAAGAAATTTTTTTTTTTACTTTCTAAACTTTGTAGTTAAAGACAAAAACACACACATTAGCCTATGCCAACACAAGGTCAGGATCACCTACATCACCGCCTTCCACCTCCACACCTTGTCCCACTGGAAGGGCTTCAGGGACAATAACACCCATAGAACTGTCTTCTTCTACGATAACGGTGCCTTCTTCTGGAACACCTCCTAAAGGACCCGACTGTCGCTCTTCTCATGGAGGTGTCGCTCTTTCCAGAAATATGTCCATGATGGTTTGGTTTGTTTCTTTTCTTCATCACAGATTTTCTTGTAACCAGATAATGCACCATCCAAACCAGGGGTCCTCAAACTACAGCCCGTGGGCCACATGCAAATACAAATATTGTATTTGTTCCCATTTTGTTTTTTTACTTCAAAATAAGGTATGTGCAGTGTGCATAGGAATTTGTTCATAGTTGTTTTTTTTTAACTATAGTCTGGCCCTCCAACGGTCTGAGGGACAGTGAACTGGCCCCCTGTTTAAAAAGTTTGAGGACCCCTGATCCAAACCTTTCGGTGTTCGAGTACAAATCTCTTAAGGCGCCTTTTAAGGCACCTGCTGAGGTCTGCAAAAGCATCTGCTAAACCCTTCACTGTGAATTTCCTTGGGGGTTCTTCTTTTTTTCTTGCTTCTTCTTCAGCTATGCATTCCTATTCCACTTCCCACAACTCCTCATTAGCCATTCCTCCAGGAGCTCCTCAATGTCACCCTCATCCACACCCACATTCAAGTTGTTTGTTTACCATCTCAACCACAGCCTTGTTGATTTCTGCAACTACCTCATCCTGGGCAAATCCTTTGAAGTCATGAATGAACCTCTTGAGTGTCTTTCTTCCAGATGTCATTCATAGACTCCTGGGTGACATCACCCTAAACCCAAGCAAGGTTCTTAAGCAAACCTTGAACATCATAGACGTAATCTTTCCAGAATTGCATCAGTGTCTTCTCAATGTCTCCTTCAGTGTTAGCAACAGCCCGGACACAGGTCCTCCTCAGGTCGTAGGCCTTAAAAGCTTCTGTAACTCCTCGACACAATGGTTGGGTCAAAGAGTGATGTTTGGAGGGAAACACACCACTTTGATAGTGAAATGACAGCGGAGTTCTCACTAGGTGGCAGGAATTTTTTTGCTCCATTAAAATCTTATGAGACCAGTGTCATATTGGTGGTCTGTTGTTGACCAAAACATTATTATGCGTCACATGACTGTATTACTTATACACTATTTTTTACTCTCCAAAACTCTTTGCTCCATCTCAATTTCTAGCTAAAAGACGACCATGTTTCTTTGAGTTGAGTTTTGTGTGTGTGTGTGTGTGTTTGTTTTTTTAATTAACATCACAGCAGGTATAACAAGCAGTAAGTAGTATGTTTATATTAGAATAAGGGGAATTCAGTAAGGTTGTTGGTAAAAAGCAAGTGCAGTTCCAACAAGAGCAACTATAACAAAATATAACTTATAAAAGGATACAATAGAACCCAAACAGTGATTAGAAATAAACCTAAGAAAAGATGTACAAGAACTTTATGGAGAAAAATTTTTAAAAAGACCTATATAACTTTAGAAAAGATTATGCACTGGGTATGACTATGTCAGTCCCGCCCCAAATGAAATCAATGAAATTCCAATAAAATCTCCAGGGGATTTTTCACAGAACTCAAAGAGTAATCTTACAGTGTATAAAATAGAAGTCATAAAAACATAATGGTGAATGAATATAACAAATTGTAGAAGGATCCTCCAATATCATTATATAACTAGAGGCCTTATGCACGAAATTTGTGCAAGAGTAGGCCTTTGCAGGCCCGGCTGCCTTGGCCCTCGCAGCCCTGGCTTCGTCCGGAAGGTCATTCGGCTGCCTGGTCTAATTAGCATATTACGCTTTTATTATTATAGATAATCTTAAGTATACAAAATAGGTATCGAGATGAATTCATATGTACTAATACTGTTACTTATACTTAAAAAGCATGACAGGAATCTATAATAATAAAAGTGTAATATGCTAATTAGACCGGACGGCCAAACAGTGGAACTGTCCAGACGACCTTCCGGGCAACCTGCTGGCCGAAGCCAGGGCAGCTGATGTGGCTGCGAGGGCCATACCTCTTGCAAGAATTTCGTGCATCAGGCCTCTAGTGATAACCATAAAATTTTATCAAATTCAGAATAGTAGTTACTGAAGAGAATGGGATCAGAGAGGTATAAACTGTAATTTCAGTTTTATTTATAATCTCTTATTTCTTAAACTGGGTGATGGGTACAGAGATGTTTATTATATTATTCCCCAGTCTTTAAACTCTGTTTGTATGTCTTAAATACTCCATAAAAAAAAAGAATGCCTTTTATTTGAGAACCATGTTATGACATGACCTAGCAAACACAATCTAATAAACTACATCAGCACCACCTTGTTAAAAACATGGATTACTAGGCTATACAAGAATCAGAATTTCTGGGAGGGAGGTCATGTGACTCTAAGGCACAGACTCATTTTGGAACTCTTGGTAACCATTAATCCATCAACAAAATCAGTTCCAATCTGACAATGAGATACTAAAGTGCTTAAGATTGCCTAATCACTTTCCAACTGAAGCAAATGTCCACAATGTGGACTCTAATTTGAGAGCAAAATCGTACAAATTTTAAAGTAGCGTATCTTTTACTATAGACCCCCCTAAAAGGTAAGACATGTAAAAAATTAGAAATGTCTTATAAAGTAATCGCATCAAATGATTCCATTGCAGAACATAATTCATATACATCCTCTACAGGGAATATGTCATAGCAAAATTCCACTGAAGAGGAATTATTTTGACGTTTTAAACCACACGAATCTGCTACACGCATCAACACTGAAAAGACTCACTTACCGGGGCTTTCCACTCTCTTATAGTGGTAGGGATTGATGCACACCTCCTTCTGCTTGGAGCCGAAAGGAAACTCGCAGCATTCCAGTGGTTTCAGTTCATGGTGGCTCTGCAGGTCGGGCCAGCGCCACACTCGGCAGTAAATGACATGAGGCAGTCCCTTCCGGTGGGAAACCTGCAGCCTGCCATCCAGAGAGCGGGGGATGGTGACACAGTTGCTGGGCTGCCCCGGGCAGCTCAGGGCCTTTTCCAGTTCCTCCATGGCCCCCTTCTTTTTCTTCAGTTTTTTCACCAAAGCATCCACCGCTTTCTCTGCCCATTTTTCTTCTTCGTCGCCCTGCTTCCACCCGAGAAGTCTCTTCACGGCTGGACTTGTGAAGGAAAATAAACTTGTCACGTTCATGGTGATGGCACCAGTCAGACACTCCTTGTTTATGGTAAAATACAGGAGCCTCCAAATGCAAAAGGACCAGAGGAGGGATTTCCCTTTATTTACATAGGACTCTCCTTAGCTTCTTAGTCTTGAGGTGCTGAAAAGTAGGAAGGACCATTCCTAGTGTTTCAAAAGGTAACCCAGAGTCAGTACCTAGAAAAGAAAAAAGAAGAAAAAATGTTTAAAATCATCTCTATCACAAGCCACAAGTTATTAAAAAATTACTATGGGCCAGGTATGATTTTAAGTGCTTTTGTGTATTATAGTATGATATGAACTGAACTATGTCCCTCCTAAAACTCATGTTAAAACCCTAACCCCCAACATCACTATATTTGGAGAGGGAGCCCCTAAGGAAATAATGAAGGTTAAATGAGATGATGAGGGTGGGGTCATATCTGATAGGAATGGTGGCTTTACAAGAAGAAGGGAGGGTATCTCTTTCTCTCTCTCTCTCCCCCATGCACTGAGGGAAGGCCATGTGAGGACACAGAGAGAAGGCAGCCATCTGCAAGCCCAGAAGAGAAAACCAGAAACCAATTGGCTGGGACCTTGATCTTGGACTTCCTAGCTTTCAGAACTGTGACAAATAAATGTCTGTTGTTTAAACCACACAATCTATAGTACAGTAAGGCCTCATGTAATGTTCTCAATAGGTTCTGCGACTTTAAGCAAAACAATGTATAAGGAATCCGATTTTTACCATAGGCTAACTGATACAAATAAGAGTTCGTATGGCATCTCATCAACGTTATAACAAAACGTTGAACAAAATGACGTCATTCAAGGACCTGCTACACTTTGTTATGGCAGCCCAAGCAGACTAACACACAGCATTTAATCCTTTAAATAATCCTTTCAGCTAGGTAATAAAAGCACTGTCATTTTACAGATGAATAAACTGAGACACAGTTTTAAAAGTAGTGTGTTACTGCCAGGCCGGTGTGGCCCAGTGGTTGAGCATCGACCTATGAACCAGGAGGTCACGGTTCGATTCCCCCACATGCCTGGGTTGTGGGCTCGATCCCCAGTAGGGGTCATGCAGGAGGCAGCCAATCAATGATTCTCTCTGATCATTGATGTTTCTGTCTCTCTCTCCCTCTCCCTTACTCTCTGAAATTAATAAAAATATATTTTAAAATAAATAAATACATAAAAAATAAAAAGTAGTGTGTTACCGTTTACATGATTTCTGAGATAGAAGCAATAGACACCTTAGTACAAAACAGTTCAAGTTCTCACCAGATATTATAGTGTTTTATATTTAGATTCATTTATAGCACTAAAAGTGTATTTTAAGACACACCTGAATCAACAAAAACAAAGGTTTTCATTTGTTCAAGTATTTTTAATGCTAAAAGGAGGGGTAGTTATATTTTTACCACATAAATGTAGCAACAATTTAGGGTACTTATTCAATGAACAAGCATATGTCTATTGGCCACAGGATATGTAAGGTAAGAAATTTATTTCACACTTTTTCAAATTTGCTTTCTATGGCCATGAGCAGAATGATTTACCAAATTCTTTAGTGAAGTTGTCTCATTTAAACCTTCTAGTTACCTTTAGCCAGATGTAAGCACAAAAGGTGAGAAAGATTAAAGAGGGTAACTTTACACAAACTCTGGCTAAGGTGCAGTAGCATGTATCAAACCAACCTCCTCCCAAAAATTACTATAAAAGCTGTATAAAATGCAAACAAACTAGGGTGGGGGAGCCTGGTTTTTAATGGCATGAAAAATCAACCAAGGTGCCCAACCGGTATTGCTCAATGGTTAAGTGTTGACCTATGAACCAGGAGGTCATGGTTTGGTTTTGGTGGGGACACATGCTGGGGTTTCCGGCTTGATCCCCAGTGGGAGCCGTGCAGGAGGCAGCCAATTCATGATTCTCACTCATCATTGATGTTACTCTCACCCTCTCCCTTCCTCTCTGAAATCAATAAAAATATATATTTTTTAAAAAGCAACCAAGGTACTCAGGACCATAGTGGCCAAGATATTGGAGAAAAGGAGAAAGCAATGAAGTGAGCTGAGCATTCTTCATTGCTTTTCTTTTCAAGGCATTTGCAAAGCCTATGCTATGAATAGCAAGAGGCCTAGTAGCCATACTGAAAGAGGCTAAAGACCCAAGCAGAGATTTCAGTAATCTTATGGTGGAGACAAAAAAAAAAAAAAAATTGGAGTTGAGGGCCTGCTAAGAAGAAGGCCTGGTGAGTACACTAGGCTTTTAGTTCAGACCCATAAGGGCAAAAATGACATGGACCAGTTTTTATACTACAACATAGCTTAGAATCATCTTAATACTAAAATGGATCAAGGTGATGAGAAAAGAGAAGAGTGACAGAGGTAGATAATGGCCAAGGCTTTACCAAAACTGACAATAGCCATCTAGCCACAGATTCATGAAGCCCTATAAATCCCCAAAAGGATAAATACAATGAAATAACATCCTTAGCATGCCAAATGTAAATAAAGAGCTGATAACTCAGAATTCTATACTTAGTAGAAAAAATCATGCAAAGAAATGATTGTGAAATAAAGATGTTTTCCAACAAACAAAATCTGAGAAAACTGGCTTCCAGAAGGAATTCTTCAGGCAGAAGGAAAAAGTTCCTAGAAAGAAACAAGGAACTGCAGGAAAGAATGAAGAGTTTCAGAAGGGTAAATAAGGGTAAGTCTAAATGAATACTGATGTCACAAAACAATAATAGGAATCGCTTTGGTGTTTAAAACATACAATTAAGATGCATAACCCAAAAAAAGCAGAAAGGGCTAAATGAAGTTGGTGTTCTAAGCTCCCTCTATTACCCAGGCTACAGTAAAGAATTAAATTATTATTGATATAAGTTTTAAAGTCATGTCATAATAAAGCAACCACTGAAAGAATAATTTAAAAACTATAAAAAGGTAATAGTAGTTTTAAAATATGTAAATTATTTTTTAAAATATGACTAATACAAAGAATATAAGGGAAAAAAGAAGCAAATAGTGGATGGGACAAATAAATAACAATACAATTTAGATCTAATCCCCAAAATATCAGCAATTACTTAAATATAAACAGATTAAATATGTAAGTAAAAGATGGGGGTGAGGATGGGGAGCTCCTCTTAACCACAGTGTACTTACGAGAGACACAGATTAAATATAAGGACGGAGAAAGGTTGATAGGAAGGATGGTTATTCTTACCAAAATGCTGGCAAAGCTAGCCAATCAGACAAAATAGGCTTCAAAATAGAAGCATAATCAGATATAAAAAGGGACATTTCATAATGTTAAAAGAGTTAATCTACCATGAATATATCACAATCCCCACCATGAATATATCAAATTTTTATGCACATAGTAACAGTCTCAAAATACATAAGCAGAAACTGACAGAATGAAACTAATAAAGAGAGAACCCACAAGCTAGTGGAAGATTAACACAGTAACTGATAACACAAGCAAACAAAAATCAATAGATACAGAAGATTAACAATGTCTTTAAAAACTTGATCCAATTCATATACGTATATCATTGTATCCAAGAACTGTAGAGTGCAAAATACCTTCAAATACACATGGAATATTTACCCAAAATGACCATATAATGAGCCATAAAACAAATCTCCATACAGAGCAAAACCATACAGAATGTGTCCTTTGATCATAGCATAACTAAGAAATCAGTAACAAAATGTTGTTATTAAAAATAATTATACTTTTAAATAATCCATGGGTCAAAAAGAAACCACAGTGGAAATTAGAAACCCTTTTTAACTTAATGATTATGAAAATATGATAAATCAAAACCTGTAGGATATGGCTCAAACCATGCTTAAAGGGAAATGTATACTCTTAAATGCATATATTGGAAAGGAAAGATAAAGCTGAAAACCAATATTCTATGTATCCACCACAAGAAAAAACATTAAATTAAATCCAAAAAAAGTAGAAGGAAATGACAGTAGTTATTTAAAAAAAATAATAGAGAAAACCTATAAAATCAAAGTTGGTTCTTTGAAAAGACTAATAAAATTGAATAAACCTCTAGAAAAAATAGTTAATAAAAGAGAAGGCATTTATTATCAATAACAAATAAAAGGGGAAAATCATTACTGATCCTCGAAATTAAAAAAGATAATGATTATGAACAGCTTTCACAGCACACTGTGCATGTCCATAGCTACTCTGTGGTCATTTACACATCTTTCTCATTATATTAAAATAAGGAATTCAATGTTCTGTCTTCCTATCTTTGGAGTCCAGCACAGTGCCTGGCACATAGCAGATTCTCAACAAATGTTTAGCTCATTGGAGAAATCAGAAGGCCAAGTGTGGGGCTTCAACTTTATTCAATATTTAGTATGAATAAATATTACCCAATATGAATATTATTTAATAGGCTGTAGCAGTCAGTAGTTTCCTTTTTAAAGTAAAGATTTTTTGCCCAAATTTACCAGTTCTTTTCACGCTGGTATTATTTTCATTTAACAGGAAACAAAATGATGCTATTATCAAAAGTCACACTTGGTCAGAGTGTACCTATTGACATGATCATTTACTAAAAGTTAGCTTTGCAAAGGAACAAGAAAGACAACTTCTGTCTAGTCCTCGAGTCACAATTTATGAAGGGAATATATTTCTTCTTGTTCTATATGTTATTTTCTTTTATTCCAAAAACTGCTTCTTTATAGTTTAGCCAATAATTTTTAAGTAGAGGGGGTGAGTTATTGAAAAATCACTTGAGGTTACTTGAAGCTCTATCACTGATGGGTTTGTTACACTAATACATGTGTTGGGGGGTGGCAGGGGATTAAGAACCACCATTTCAGACCTGTTTTAACTAACCAAACTGACATTCATCCAACATCACTGTACTGAGCACTGTGCTTCTCCAAGGAAAGAGGCACAGATGTCTACATACTGAGGGAGCTCACATTCTAATGCAAGAGCCAGTGCCTAACTATGATGCTATGTGGTGAAAGCTCTAAAACAGGCACCAATAACATAGAAAAGCAGAAAAAAAAGAGAGAACCATTAATTCCAGGATTTCACGAAGTTCGTCAACAAGGAAGGATCAGACAGGCCTTAAAGGATGGGTAGAATTCTGTGAAACAACAGAGCTAACATTTTGAGCAATCATTACCTGACAGAATCTGTTCCAA